CTGATTACTAATTTTTCCTCTATCTCTTTACAGCTGTGCCTGAGAGCTCAGCATTGAGAATGCAGTCAAAGTTGACCCAGATTTCCTTCTTTTAACTTGAATTAAATAGCAAACCCTTTCCCTATTGTACTTGTTTTTATAGATGATCATGTCTTTGCTGCTAAGATGTTCTTTTTATGGATGTGTAATATTTCAGATCAGTTACATATAAACAGTCACTTAAGTTGGTCCCTTGTATTTCTTAAAAAAACGAGTATGCTTTGATGTGGAAGGCTTATGCTGGCATTTACCAGAGTGTTACCCGGGCATGCCTGGAGATTTAGCAGTAAGAATAGTAGGAGAGTGGAAGAAACCACAGGAGGAGATTAAAGATCAGCGGAGAGTTTTCATTGGCTCCTTTAAGATGGAGACTCTGTAATTAAGGATTTAGATGGTTCACAAATAGCTCAGCTTTCTGCCTGCTCGCTCACATTATCAGTTTGTTGCTGTTACAAAGAGCTGGATTTTATACTTCGACTAAAAGGGCATAAAAGTAAAAGGTAAGGCATGCAATTGGGGAATGCTGCTAATATGCCAGTGCTATTTAAGCAACCACGATTATCTCTGTCTCCTTTCTGGATCAGCTTTGAATAGAGTGCAGTTCCTGTAACAAATTTTGTTTGCTTTAAATTTCCCTTTCCTGTTAGTGGCTGTTAACGGATAGGAAAAGAAATGCGAGCAGAGAAAAGAAAATGTAAAAGAGGAGACAGCAAGAATAAAAATATCCAAGCACTCCCGACTGGCATATACAAGTAGGAGACTGAAGAGTTCTGTGTTTCAGGCAGCCTAAGGAATTCTTGTTAGCAGGCAGATACTGTGGTGAAGAGTGAATTATTAATGCCTAGATAAGCGGCAAAGATCCTCGTTGGCATTTGAGTGTCAGGGTGTGTTGGGGTTGATTTAATTATGCCCACGGGAGAGCTCTGTCCCATTGGCATAGAGCGGCTACTTGGGAGACCTTACTGCAGCTGCAGTGGTACAACTGTGCCATTGTATAGTCTGTAGTGTAGATGTAGCCTTAGTTACTATTCAGCTTTTGGAGGGCTGGAGAAAAAGCTGCCTTATATATCTGGTGCTTTCCTAGAACAAAACAGTAATAATAATTTGCACTTGCAGAGCCTCATTGTTGTTAAAAGCATTTTAATTAAGCCTCATCATGACCCTATCACTTAGCGATTATCCTTATTTTATGGATAGGAAAAGTGGACACCGAGGCAGAGAGAGACTGAGTGACTCGTGCAAGTTCACGCAGTGAGTTAGCAGCAGAGCTGGTAATAAAACGCGGGGCTCTTTATTCCTCATCCTCTGCTCTAACCATTAAGATCCCGTTGCCTTTTCAGTAGTTGGCAAGTGGACGGGAATGCATTTTCTCCACTTTGGTATCTAGCATGACTTTTGAAATTTAGTGGTTACTCCGCCAAAGACTAAGGGCTGGAAGGAAAGACAATGTAGGTTGAAATTCTAACTGTGAGGTTTATTAAACAGTGGATGTATATCCCAAGGGAAGTGATTAAAAACTAGATAGGATAAAACACTATTAAATATGCTGTAGGGACCAATTCCTGGGGAATAAATTAAATAATAATACAGACGCTCCCCAGGTTACGCAAATCGATTTACGCAAATCCGGACTTACGGAAAAAGTTCCGTAAGTTCTGTAAGCTTTTTTTTTTTTGCGTAATTGTCGGGTATACATTCCCGACTTACGGAAAATTGGACTTACGCAAGATGTTCCGGAACGGAACGCCTTGTGTAAGTTGGGGAGCGATTGTAAATCTAATGTGTCTTCATTTTCCAGTTGCTATGTTTTTATAAGAGTAAAATGGTAAAGTCCCTACTTGAATAGTGCTTTTAATTAACTTCTTAGGGGTTCTTTTGTAATAAAATAAATTTGTGTTGGTAGAATCCTGTACAAACAAGACTTCCTTATATATATAAAAATTCCCTTCTTCAGTGTATACAGAGATTAGTAGTTGTCAGGCAAGTGTCTGGTAATGCATAATATCCTGTATGGGGTATACAGAGGATTCGTGTGCTGATTTTGGAGCTTGCTGAATTTATAAATATAGCGTCTGGATGGACTGTGGAGCTGTGCAGATTAGAGTTAGAGATACACAAGTAATCCACCTGCTCTGTTCTACCTGCCCTGAGTCTGAGTTGTCACGTTAGCTAAGCCTGCAGAGCATATGTGACTGGGACTAATTCTGTAAGTGTCTAATTGTTTGTGTCTTTACGAGTTTGAGATGAGACCCACTGAATCTTTTAGTCCAGCAACTGTTACTAGTGCAGGATTGTTCCTTTGGGGGTGCTCTGCATGCCAATACAGGATGCAATTCATCTGCACCTGTATGAGCGTTGGCTAATTATTAACTCACCTCACACCCCAGGAAATTATGCAAGTGAATACTCCCTCTTCCCTTCCCCCCCTCCCTACTAGGTAAGCAAACAGTCGCTGGTAGGTTGTGTCTGGCCCAAGGTCACGCAGTGAGTCAGTGTCACAATGAGATTGAGTAGAGGAGCTGCCTACTTTCCAGTTTAGGGTTCGAGCTAGGCTCCTCCGTGGAGGGAAGAAGGGCACTGAGACTTGGAATTCAGTATTGTGAAGGAATTCTCGCTCCTTGCCAAGTGTGATAAGAGGCTGGTTTTGTGTGTGTTTCTCAGATCACCACTACCCATCTACCACTGACCACCAACAGAAAGGCTTTATTTGACTTAAAAAAATTAGTTCTGTCATCTGTCTGAAACAGCCCTCTTCCCTCTACTCTGCATGAGAGTAAGATCCTTGCTGAGAGTTGCCTGCAGATGCTGAGCCAAAAGAGGCCGGGTCTGCAGAGAGAGAGCATTCAGAGCAGGGGCGGCTCCAGGCACCTTTGGCGGCGTGTCTGCGGGAGGTCCGCCGGTCCCGTGGCTTTGGCAGCAGGTATGCCGAAGGTGCGGGACCGGCAGATCACCCGCAGACACGCCGCCAAATCCGCGTGACTAGCGGATCGCTCGCAGGCGTGCCGCCGAAGGCCGCCTGACTGCCGTGCTTGGGGCGGCAAGTAACATAGAGCTGCCCCTGATTCAGAGATCAGAATGTACATTGGGATTTTATTTAGGGGAGGTTGGGGGGGGGAAAGAGTAGTGGGGGCAGGAGTGTTACCTTTTAGTAGAGGAAAGACTTCATTGGGGTTTGAACCTGTAACCTTCAGTACAGGAGCTTCTACTGTTGGAGCTCAAGCTTGAGTAATTCCGCTACGTTGCTGTAGTAGACCCTTATCCACTTGTGTGGCTCAACCACTACAGAGAGACAAAGACCCCAACCTTGGAGAGAGTGGGTATGTTTGCACCCTCATAACAGAGTCCAAAATGTTGCAGCATGATAATGTACTTTTCTTGTAAACTTTCATGTAAACTCAATACTGATGAAAGTGCAGTGGTTCATAGCCATGGGGATCGAAGTCCTCACCTAGTCACAGAACGGTGGCTTCCATCACCACAGTGCCTCTGGTATGACCTGGAGGGGCCAACAATGAGGGGGTGTTAGGCACACTTACCCGTTCCATCCTCTGCTGAGGTTGTCAACTATTTATGGTGGAGGGGGGTTATGTGGACTCTTGTCCAAGGCAGACTGGACTGAGGCCACCAAACAGCTGTCAGAGGGTAATGGTTTTCAGTCACTACCAACCTGGCCAGGATTTGGTAAAGGTGAAGGGCTCTGCAATGTGTGACCAGTCTCCTAGACATGCCCGTCTCCCTGGCTTTTTCCTCTTTGAAATGAGCAGTTCAGCTTGTTCATGATGAAAGTTCTGAGGCAACATCTACAGTGCCTGGGTCAGTTGCTCTTCTTTTACATTCCCCGGCCTTGTGATTCAAGCTTTTATGGCTGAGTTGGATTCTCTTTCCCCATCCCTCCCAAGCTGCATCATACATAAGTTTCTTATCCGTGTGTCACTTAGATCAGGAAGTGTTATTCCACTGGCATCAGTGAAAATGAAAAAATGAGCAAAACCGGTTCTTTGGCAGTTTTACTTCCTTGAGACCTTGCAGTGCAGATGTTTTTGCTCACCTTTATTAAACACATGTGGTAAACGAACATCGCATTGTGTATGTACAAGGTGTTCTATTGGGATAACAGATGGCATTTATATAGACTGTAGGTACACTGGGGGAAAAACATGGTTTGGCTCAACAATTGAGTATAAAAGGGTCCCCTGACAACCTACAAACCAAATACCCATGTAAACATGCTTCTTTATACTGTCCAGCAAACTGAATACTAGTCCCTTTTCTGTTTAGAGAAAAGTCCATCCCTTGGGACTAAATGGTTCAGGGGCCGGGTAATAGGAAAAAGGGAATCTTGTGCTCTCAGGATGAATCCTGCCCAGCTTAGTAGCCACTGGCATCCGTCTGACTGCTGCTCAGTGGGTCTATATGAAGTGAGTTTGATCTCAGTTCAGTTCCTTGGGGGCACTTGCCCACACCGCATTGAATTCACCCTATACTTGGCACTAGCTGTCCCTCTTGTTAGCAGTCTCAGTAGAGAGGCCATAACTGACTGGATCCTGGAGACTGAGCTCACTTTGGCCTAGGGATGTCCACTCCAGGTAAGAGTTGAGGCACAGTGGGAGGAAATCTTGTCCTGTTGCTGCTCATCCTGTGTTTGCTCTCTGGATAGAGGATGTTGCTCTCTAGGGCTGTCAGTCCAGCACATTTCATCACCAGCACTAAACTAGTCACTTCAGCCATACATTGTGAGAATTTATGCTTATCTGATTTCATATTTCATCCCAGTTCCCCTCTACTGTTTCTTCTGATACCCCTTTTCCTCCCCTAGGCGGTGCCATTTGTTTGCTGATGATTGCGTAGTTGGCTGCAGTAGCTTGCAAGTGCATGTGGCATCTGCTGGAATCTAAAGCTGGCATTTCTTATGATTCTGTGTTTCTAACCAAGAGAGGTGTTTGGTTTTTTCCCATCTGCAGCCATGACGGGACCAAGACCGGTAGTTCTGAGTGGCCCATCGGGTGCAGGAAAGAGCACTTTGTTAAAAATGCTGCTTAAAGACTACGGCAATGTCTTCGGCTTCAGTGTCTCTCGTGAGTATTTGTGCGCGACCCAGCCGGGGGGGGCAGGGAAAGTGAAACCGAAGCTTAATAACAGCCAAGGGCCTGACTGCGTAGCTACTACACATAGTTTTCAACGTAGTTAGCCCCCAAATCATAAAAATTGCATGTTAGCTGTTGTGGCTTGGGTTCATGGATCTATCTTAACTTGTGTGCTAGTAAGTATGTTTACATAACTTGGGCCATGTTTTACTACTAGTGTAAATGTAACTTCATTAAAATTGCACCTTTTAAAGCGTTGGTATCTTCATGATACACCTAACACAGCATGCAATGGATGTTGTTCAGAGTCATTCCTTCCTGGGATTTGTCTTTAGTCTTAAAGTCACAAAGCCCTAAAGCAGAACTACTTATAAACGTATGGCTTGTGTCCTCTAAACACCCCCAAGAGAATTGATTAAGATTCCGCTGTGCAAGACCCCACTGGCTTTTCTGCAAGCTTTAACCTTTCTGTGGGTTGATTTAATGAGACCTATGTGGTCTGGCTGTTAGGGTGAGTCAGCAGAATAGTTCTGCTCTTCTATTCAGATTATTATATCCTGACACTGAGTTACTTACCCGCTTGTGCCAGTGATTGTTTTGGCTCATTGATTTATTTTCCTGCTTAGAACTGTAAGCTATATAGCAGTCTTTGTTTTCTCTACATGAGAAGTGTGTGGTGGATTCCTTTAGTACATAAATAGCCCTATTATATGGCTAACTTACTGCCTCTCCCATCCACCTCCAAAATGTGGAGAGCTGTGAATGTTGATTTTATCATATATACTTTTCTAGTGCCCAGATACGAAGGTGGCTGGCACTCACCTAAGATAAGGAGTCAGATAGTAAACGAATACCCCACGACTGGATCATTGCTACAGGACTCTGAGTAGATGACCTGTGATATAATCTGTGCTTTGTCTTTATTGATGTGACAAGAAGATGCTGTTTGTTTGCTTGTTTCCAGTAGCATTCTCCGAGTGGTAGGTGTTGTATGGACATATGGGAAGGCACAGTCTTTGCCCCAAAGTGATTACAGTCTCTAAAAGATACGTATTACTTGAAGTTGTGATATTCAATTTCAGATGGAAAAATGTTTAAATGGAACAGGATAAATGTAGCCCTCCCATTTGCAGGCACTAAAATGTATTTGACTGATAAAGCCTCTATCACTGGATACGGTATCCAGGAAGTTGTGCGAGATTTAAAAGTTAACCCAAATCTCTGAGCCTGGGAGAGAGGGAGACTGCCAGCCACAAGCTGGGTGGCCGGGGGGACGCAGGCCTGCCCACTCCACTGCGTCCCAGCCCAGGACCCTAGCAGGAGCAGACGGCCCGCTGCTGAGTCAGTGGGGATCCCGGCCGCAACATACTGACATGGGCTCTGGCAGTGCTGCAGCCAGACTAGGGTCAGCTGCCTCCAGGCTACTTCCTAACTCCCCCTCTAGAGGTACCTGGGTCCAGATGGTGTCCTCCGGGGGGGGTCAAGCACCATGAGCTCCTCTAAGTAACTGGCAAGGGGCAGGCCGGGCAGCTCCTCCGGGCTCTGGTCGGCATCGGGCGTCGGCAGGTCAGGCCAGTCCTCGGGTCTGTTGTAAGTCGCCGGGGTCTCCCAACCAGGAGCTAGGCCACCTCCCGAGTGAGCTCTGGAGTCGGGCTTTTATACTTCCTGTCCTGCCCCTTGACCTCTGGGGGGCGGGTGCAGGACTCGCTGGCTCCGCCCACTCTGGTGTTGAGAGGGGCTTGTCCCTCTCCAGGGCAGTGGGGAACCACACCACCTCACTACAATACCCTAAGGGCTTGTCTACACAAGGAGATTAAGGCACAGTAAACTAAGGTGTGAATTTAAAGCACAGTAGCTACCCCACACTGACTCCCTCAATCAGTTTACCTTAATGCACTGCCGAAGTTTATTAAGCTAATGAGCACAAAGGCCTTCTTAGTGCACAGTAAGAATGTCTACATGGGAAGGCAGAGCAGATTAGCTAACACAGGCTTTTTTCCTGTATAGACAAACCCTAAGTGATTTGCCCAGTGTCACACAGGAAGTCTGTGCTGGAACGAGGAATTGTATCTGCGTCTCACAAGTCCCAAGTCCCTAACCACTGGACCATCCTTCCCCTCTATAAGCAATGACTGAATCATCTAATAATACCCACTTAAGGCACCTAGAAACAAAAGGTGCAAATTGGGTCCAGAAGCTTTGATCAAATTAAACAGAGAATCAAATTACCAAGTGATCGAATTGAAGCCTGTGTATGCTGCTGAGTAAGTGGCTTTGTATTGCTTTTACATTATTATATTCTTGTGTGAACTACAAAATTACAGAGACTGTGTTTGCTTCCAGATACCACAAGGCAACCAAGAGTCGGAGAAGTGAATGGCAAAGGTCAGTGTATTGCCCTTTGTTGTATTGTCAGATTAGGTAGGGCTACTGCTCTGAGAACCTGAGAGGAGCAGCTAGTTCTGCTGGTAGACAATGAAGAGCAAATAGGGCTTGTAACCAATGGATAAGTACATGTTTGAGCAAGCTTTGTTGTTTATGGGCATGTTCCGTGAAAGTGCAATTGCGGGGAAGTCAGACCTTATTTACTTAGAGTTTATGGAGTGTATTTACTTTAGTACGTGTCCAATAACAGTATTTTACACGTACATAGGACCTTTCATTCTGAACGATCCCAAAGCAGGGCTTTGGTGCGGAGCCCAGAGCTGGAGCGTGGAGCCGCTCCGGAGCAGTGGAGCTGCAGGTTTTTGCCTGGAGCTGGAGCGGAGCCGGAGCACAGCTCCAAAGCCCTGTTTTATAAACTGAAGATACAAACTATACACAGGGATCGCTTCACCTTCAAATGAAATGCAGCTGCCTCTGTTGTAGGAGATAGCAGCTGCGTAATAGCACACAGCAATCTTATACAACAGTTTAGGACAGAATGTGCCGAAGTGCTGAGTACTCGGCAGCTCTGATTAACTTCAATGGGACTTACTGGGTGCTCAAAACTTTTGAAAATCAGGCCATTTAATTTAGGTACCTTCAGGTGGATTTAAGAGCGAAACTCTAGACACCCAGTTTTGAAAATCTAGATCTTAAAGGCCAACTACTAATAGTAAGGCTCTGGATTTCATCCCTATTCCAAGAGACCTTGCCTCCAGTAGCACAGAATAGAACCCTGGCCCCTCCCAAAAAGCATTCTGGGGTCATTGTTTTACTACTGACTTGGAGGGAACAGTGTAATTTAATTCAGTTGCCAAAGCAACTGAGGTTTAAAATGCAGGGACATTAGAGTCAACCCAGCACTGAAAAGCAACTGAAATGTCTTACTGGTGTCTTTATGCCTGAATAGCTCAAAAAGGTCCACATGAGATTTTTACCTACTTTCCCAAAGGAAAGTTTACCTTTCAACTGAGAAGAAGAAATTTCAGCCAAAGTGGGTTTTGTTTCGGGGACGGGGGCACAATAAGCCTCTAAAAATAGAGGCACTTAGGCTGAAATGACTTCTCATCTACTACTGTAGCGCGTTGTAAGCATGGCACTGTAATGAGAGAGGTCACTGGAGATCTGGAGAGTAGAAGAGGCAACGTAAACAGCAGCATCAGTATATCCGGCCAATTATTAAAGATGCATTGGAGATAATTAAATACCATGAGCGGGGTGCGGGGATCCATTGTGTTTCTGTATGTGTTAACCAAGGGCCAAATTTTTTAATTTGAGTGCCTGAAAGCTAGGCACCTAAATAAGCATTTAGTTCCCTAACATAGGCATTTAGGCCTGGTCTACACTACGACTTTAATTCGGATTTAGCTGTGTTAATCCGAATTAACCCTTCACCCGTCCACACTACAGAGCCAGTTAATTCGAATTAAAGGGCACTTAAAATCGATTTCTGTACTCCACCTCGACGAGCGGAGTAGCGCCTAAATCGATTTTGTTAATTCGAATTAGGGTTAGTGTGGCCGCACACCACCGAATTACTGTGGTTAAAGTAATGGGGTAGTGTGGCCGCACACCACCGAATTAATGTGGTTAAAAACCGAATTAATGTGCTTAGTGTGGCCGCGCACAATCGAATTTATACAACCTGTTTCCCAAATTCGAATTATCTAAATTCGGATTAATCCTGTAGTGTAGACATACCCTCAGGTGCTTCAGTACGTTTTAAGTGTCCAAATGTGTGCACATGGCCCTGAGCCTTTATCTTGTTCTAAGTCAGATGGAAGCTGCACACTGATATAGATTGTTTTTCAATATTGCTGGATCCAGAGTACCACTTTGTGACCAGAGAACAAATGCAGAAAGAAATTGATGCTGGCGAATTCATTGAGCATGCAGAGTTCTCTGGAAACATATATGGAACAAGGTATGTAACTGTTACACTGTATCCAATAGCTCATGTGGACTACGGATTGCCCATTTACTGGCTACCTGTGTTCTGCCCTGAGATGATGGGGAAATATTTTAACTTGCCATGACACTATTCTCTCCCTAGTCTAAGCTTTTCACTCTGGCAGCATGTCTGCTATTAATTTTATTCTGTCACTAGTAATTGGTGACATTCACCTGTGTGCAAAAGGTCAGTATCAGGCGTGTGCAACACTCAAATTTTGCTTAAGCCCCAAGATTTGAGTGTGAGATGGTTCATAGTGCTCACGCTGGCCCTTCACAGAGGTGAATTTCACTCATACGGAATGTTTATAGTGCTCCTCATCTTCAAAGTGCTCTACAAATTTTAATTAAACAAAATGGGACTAAGTCTGCATTCACTCCCTGTGTTATCCCCCAAAGGCCTGAGTGTGATCAGATCAGTGGTGAAAGGAAGTGACACACGACTCAATCTGGTACAGTAACGCTTACAAATTAATAAATTCTCTCTGGTGTTAGCACCTGCAATTAGGATTAAAGTGTAAAGTGGATTTTAAAATAGCATTGCTACTGGCATAAAAGTGATCATCAATGAAACACTAAATAAGCTGCAATATAAATTAAAAGTCAGATATCTTACTTAACACAAAATCTCTGACAATTATTACAGCCCAGGTTGGATCCGAATGGCAAAAGTAAAATAAGTGCAATTGTTTTCTAAGATACCAAATCAGTAATAGAATGAGTTGATTTTAAAATTGCGAATACCTCTTAAGAGTGAACGGAAATGCTTTAAAAATACATGCAAAAAAAGTCTAAATTTCCAAAACAACTTGTGATTTTGGGGGCCAAACTTGACAGTTTAAGGAGACCTGCCTTTTAGAGGTCAGGTGCTCAGCATGTTCTGAAAATCAGGCCCCTTTAAAGTGTCTCCAAAATTGGGGCAACCAAAATCACACATCACTTTTAAAAAATTAATCCTAAACTTCTGAGTGCGTTATAAGAATATAAAATTACAGATCAATACATTTTTAAAACAAATGAAAATAATTTTCTCTCACTTTACAGTATCTGCCTACACTTCACTTCTAGTTTCTGTGTCTCTTGAAAGATTCGACATTATTTCCCTAAGGCAACATAAGGAAGGCAGCTTCCTGCTTTACTCTAGCGTTTCTGATGTCACTGGCTTGCTCAGGAGGAACACGTAATCTTGACCTTCGATCTCAGCCGTTAGAAACCTTCCAACTCACCTTGAAGGAGAAACCAATTTCAAGCCTCTTGAATCCATGGATTCAATCTGCTAAGGGGAGTTTGCCTTTGAACAGGATTTTCCATTTAATCCAGGCCGCCCCTCTTCTGGGATACCTCTCAGGGAGCAAGCTGAGCTTACCAGCCCCAAATGGCAATGGCTGCTGTTTGGTCAGGAGAGTGTAACACAAACTCCTCTGCCAGGGGAGGCATTGGGCATGGGCCAGACAAAGATGTGGCACTCAGTTGGGTGTGATCGGTGTGAACTTTTAGGACCCTGTCTGCTCATACATGAGTTACCAACTAAAGATTAAAAGAAAAATGCCATTACAGAGTGAAATGGAGAGTTTATTTTTTTGCTCTTTTATGTCAGTTTAACTCTTTTCTGACTAAAATGTCATGATAGGGAGGAGAAGGGGAACGATGGAGAAAGAACTGGGGAAACGATAGTGAGTTGAGCTGGGATGGACAAGAAGAGCAGGAGAAGCCAGTAAAAACAGGGATTCTGTTTCGTCCCCTCCGTGGAGGAGGTGGTTGCGAAGAGATCTGACCGTACCACTGTGTTCTGCCATCCGGTTTCGATCTCCTGTACTAGCAAAGTTGCACACTCAGTACTTTTCTGGAAGAATTCTGGGGTCAGGTGTTAGTTAGTGACTAGCTGGGGCTCTTCCCTCTGAGTCAGAGCCCCAGGCCAGTGATAGGGGTGCTGTGCCTTTACAGGCACCACCCTCGGGGTGAAACAAAATGGAGGGCCTGTCTGTTTGTGGTTCTTAATGATCTCAAGGCATTTTTTCTATGGTTAGAGGTGGGTCTCTGGCTGAATTCCCACTCTGGTAACATATCTTGGGTAGTTACGTGTCCCCTGCCGTTTCAGTTAAACCAGTGGTTCTCCACTTTTTTGAGCTCAGGACCCATTTGTAAATGTTTATGGCCTCTCACGACCCAGTAAATAGTCTGGGGTTGGAGGTCCTGGGGTGGTTTTGGTCAGATCCTGCCCCTGGGAGGAATGGGCGGCTGGATCCTGTCCATCAGTCACCCCACAGTGGCAGCTCCTGTGCTATGGGGCTGGCGGGGCTTGGCTCTCTGCTCCAGGCGTTGCAACCTATGGGGTTGCAGCGTCGCTCAGGTTTGACCCTGCCCCCCTTGACTGGACCAAATTTGTGTGAATGGAGTTGTGACCTGGCTCATGGGGTTGCAGTGGCACTCACTCAAATTTAGCCCACCTGGACTCCCGTCGTCATGACAGCTGGGCTAACCCTGAGTGGCACTGGGACCCTAGAGGTTGCAGTATCTGGATCAGGGAGGCGAGCCCAGCCAGCTCCGCGGGACAGGAGCTGCCACGCGACCCTTTGAAACATTCTGACGACCCAATTTTGGGTCCTGACCCACAGGTTAAGAAACCCTGAATTAAACTAAGTATTCTTCCCTTCCTGTCCTAAACTGTTACATCACATTAATGTGCCCTGCTATACAGCTGCCACGGTGCACCCCAGAGGCAACTGCATCTTAGCAGTGGGGAAGTATGTCCTGTATTTACGCTATACTGGTGTTTGTTTAGGTACACTTCAGAATCAAAGGTGCTTTGTAATAGTAACACATTTCCCCTCAGGTTTTCCCATCATAGAGACTAAGGTTTGTTTTCTCCATTCCCCCAGAAATGCTCTAGACATGATCCATCAGACTAGTTAGGGCCGGATCCTAAGCAGTATTGAGCACCCACAGTTGTCAGTGAAGTTACCGTTGTTCAGGATCCAGCCTTTTGCAGGTCCTAGAAATGCTCAGCGATGTTTGTTGTTGTGCTGCAGGAGCAGCTGGACCAGGACCCCATTGTGTTAGGTGCTGTACAAACACAGAATATAACACAGGCAAAGCATGAGTCTGATATCTGAATGACAAAATTCCAGGAACTGCTAATGCAGAAAGGGGCTGTTCACAGCTGGGTTGAGCACAGGCCTTTTCATCCAACAACTTTGATTGTGACTCAGTATTGGGATCATTAAACTTGACCATGAGCAATATAAGGGCCTCCTCCTCCTTCTATAGAATACTTCCAGTCCCTCCCTCTAACTTTCTCGGAGATTTAAATCATCTAGTTCCAACCTTTGTATAGACATAAACTTATTCCCAGAGTCCTGCATTTAGGAAGGAAGAATCCCATGCACTGCTACAGACTAGGGACTGAATGGCTAGGCAACAGTTCTTCAGAAAAGGACCTAGGGGTTACAGTGGACGAGAAGCTGGATATGAGTCAACAGTGTGCCCTTGTTGCCAAGAAGGCTAACGGCATTTTGGGCTGTATCAGTAGGGGCATTGCCAGCAGATTGACATTGGTGAGGCCTCATCTGGAGTACTGTGTCCAGTTTTGGGCCCCACACTACAAGAGGGATGTGGAAAGGTTGGAGGGAGTCCAGCGGAGGGCAACAAAAATGATTAGGGGGCTGGAGCACATGACTTATGAGGAGAGGCTGAGGGAACTGGGATTGTTTAGTCTGCAGAAGAGAAGAATGAGGAGGGATTTGATAGCTGCTTTCAACTACCTGAAAGGGGGTTCCAAAGAGGATGGAGCTCGGCTGTTCTCAGTGATGGCAGATGACAGAACAAGGAGTAATGGTCTCAAGTTGCAGTGGGGCAGGTTAGGTTGGATATTAGGAAAAACTGTTTCACTAGGAGGGTGGTGAAGCACTGGAATGGGTTACCTAGGGAGGTGGTGGAATTTCCTTCCTTAGAAGTTTTTAAGGTCAGGCTTGACAAAGCCCTGGCTGGGATGATTTAGTTGGGGATTGGTCCTGTTTTGAGCAGGGGGTTGGACTAGATGACCTCCTGAGGTCCCTTCCATCCCTGATAGTCTGTGATTCTGAAATAGCTCAGGTTTCAGTGCAGACCTAGGGCCAAATTCAAGCCTGGCGTAAGCGAGTGCAACGCTGTTGCTGCTCACTTAGCTGCTTATGAAGAGTCTGAATTTTCTCCTTCATCTTTTCTCCCTAGATATTGCCACCCTTTATGCGCTCTGCTTTGCCCATCTGTATACATTTAGGAGCAGATATTTTAAATCCAAAGGCAGCTGCTTTGCTTTACCAGATGTTTGTAGGTTCATTTCTACTGCACACCTGTGGCCATCTTATGAATGCAAGGATTGCCCAGTACTGAAATAGGTGACTATACTTCACCAGACTAGGTGAAGCATTAGTCTGTCTCCAGCAACAGCTAATGCTGTGCTGTGGATACAAGTTTCTTCCTGCCCCTGCCCCACTAGCTTATGCCCTGAAACATGGTGATGCCATTCTTCATACAATATTGTCCTTTTCAAGAACACCTTTCATCTCAAAGCGATAAAAGCAATCCTGAAACGCAGCCTTCTCTGAGCTGCAGCCAGCTAGTGCTCACACCATGCAGGCAGGGAGGGGAAATGTTAACCGAGGAAATTAGGAAAAAACCCCAAGGCTTACTGAAAGTGCGGTAGAAGAAAACAGAGGATTTAAGGCCATATCCAAGAGATCTAATCCTTTCGTGACTGAAAGCTAGCATGCTTTTTCCAAGACATTTTGGTGATGGGAAAGACATAAGAACCTGAACCAAAGAGAAATTAACTTACTCCAGGAGGTGTCAGTCATTTTGAAAAACAAACTCGCCCACAAACACCGCTTCTCTGATCACAAGGGCTAAGATTTTTTTCAGACTGATGGTTCTGGATGCTTAATTGGAGACCACTTAAAGGAGCCTGTGTTCCAGAAAGTGCTGAGCATCCACTCTCTCTGAGAATCAGGCCCCTGTTAGATGCCTCAAGTTAGGCAGCCAAACTCAGTAGTCCCTCTGGAGAACCTTGACCAAGATCTTTGCTGAGTGTGTGCATGCCACTGTAGGGTCCAGTAATGGGAGGTGCTGAGAAATCGCTAGGAGTGGAAGAGACAGCACCTTGGGCATCTCATGTGCTTAAATCTGAGGATGGGGTGGGGGAGTCTGCACACTTAGTGTTAGAGCAATTTTTGTGGATTTGTGACAGAAAACAGTCGAAGCCATAGCTCTAGTCGCTAACATCTTCTGCAGTTTGGGGGGGGAAGAAAGGAGAACTGCAATCCAGCCCAGTCAGTGAGATCGATGTGCAAGGCAAGCTCGTAGATCTCCGTGTTTGTATAGTGTTTGCAGCGATGATGATAAGGTGGGTTTAAAGGCTTTAGGACAGGCTTAATGTGGAAATCCCAAGAATAACTTCGAAAGCCGGGACTCGTGTCACCTGCTGCAGCAGGAGAGGTCTTGTTAAATCCGTTCCTAACTCCAGCTTTCTGCTCCATCTTGTTAAAACAATTCTGGGAAGAGGAAAGTGGCCCCCTTTTCCATCTATCCTAGGTATTTGTATGGCCCCCATCACCGTAGCATCTGAGAACCTCACCATCGTTAATGTATTTATCCTCACTGCACCCCTGGGAGGAAGGGAAAGGCGATTATCCCTGTTTTGCAGGTAGGGAACTGAGGCTCTGGTAACAGAGCTCTTCTAGGGAGGCCTTGCTTCCACCACGATTTCCTTGGCCTAGGGCAGTGGTTCCCAAACTTTAAGAACCTGTGAACCCCTTTCGCTAAAATGTCAAGTGTCGTGAACCCCCTCCTAAAAAATGAATATTTCCAGGGATTTTCTCCTTTACCTGAATATAAATTATAAAAGCAGTGATCTTGGTAATATAAAATTTGTTTTTATGAGACACTGTTTATTACACACTATTCATTATTAATTATTATTTATCATTACAGTTTTTTTATTACATTATGAAAATGGCAACACTCTTCCAAGATCTCACTTTCGTAGCTTGTATCACTTTGAATAAGCCTGTTATAAGACAAGGCTCCTATGTTTCATCAAGGAGTATCAGATGTGAAACAGCAGGAAGGTATTTAAGAAGCCAACTCAAAGAGTTCCTCCTACACAAGCATTCAGGTCTTGAGCAGTCCAGGCAAACAACGCATGTTACAACAAAGCTTAAACTTGTTCTTCATAATAATTTTAAAAACAATACTAGCTGCCTATTTAATTTTAAAAATATCAAAAAATATCCACCTCCCTTTCCATTTCTTATAAGGAGTCTTGAAGTTTAAATCTCCTCAGTGTGATAGATAGGCTTGCTTTGAGCTGCTTAGCTCTTGGAAGTCCAGGAGCTCTGGGCTGCTGGCCCTGTGCTGCCCAAGATCCCTAGGGACAGTTCTGTCCGCCATTAGGGAATTTTTTCCTGAGAACCCCCTGTAACATTTCGTGAACCCCCAGGGGTTCACGAACCCCAGTTTGGGAACCACTGGCCTAGGGGAACACCACAGCTCAGGAAACAGGATTCCCTAGGAATCACGCCCCACACCTGTCTGGAGTGAGCTCATCTCCTCAACCCTGGTGTGTGCAGCCATGGCTTCACTGTCCTAATTGGATGCTATCCTTCAGGTGTTGTGGCAGAAGAGAGTCTTGGGGGAGGGTTTGAGAGAGGAGGAGGTGGTAGGGACTGAGCAGATCCGTTCAGGGAGATGTCCCATGTGTAAGAGGCAGCAGGGAAGAAGGCAAAGACACAGTGGTAGGAGGAGCGGACAGATGGGCAGGCAATCCATGGTAGCAGTAGCCCAGGTAAGGGAGAGAATGATCATTCGCATCCAAACCGTACCCCCAGGGAGAGGAGGTGAACAGCACATAGACAATGCGGGGACAAAACCAAACAGCCGCACCCATCCCCTAAAGGTTGTTTAGTCTCATCTTGTCTCTGTAGTGCTGTCCTGACAGTTTTGCCATGTAACTGAGAATCAAAATATGGACAGAACATTCGCCCGTCCACTGAAAGGTCAGCTGGATTTTTTTGCGGGGGGGTCAGGTTCCATTTAAGTCATGAAGTTCATAGGCAGTAAGCGTGTTACTGATTAGAACTGGGAGAATTATTCTTCCTATAACAATTCAGGAGAATATAGGCTGCATTTTAGCACCCATCTTGTTAGGATGGGTCACCTTTACATAAAAAGGGCATGCTGTACAGACAGATACTGACAAAAGGAATGCTTGCTCACACACACGATAGCAACTGCTATCATACTAGCAGAGTATGTGACCGTCTACACTCAGCTTGTAATCAGATAGCGGGCTGGACTAGCGGATCTCTTGAGGTCCCTTCCAGCCCTACCTTTCTAGGATTCTAAGAGCACCCGTGGGGAGGGCCTGGGATCAGGGTTGGGTGGGGGCGAAGGTTCACAAGAGGAACTACAGCTTAACCTCTGCCTCAGAGTATGAAAGCCTTCTCTAAAGAACTGCTCTTTCTCTTATCTTCTGTTGCCACCATGTGGCCACTCAATTTAACTAATTTAACCCTCCGTAGCCACCTCAAAACATTTTCTCAGGTTTTCTCCTCTTACTCTTTATCATTTGTAGTACATGAGCCCCAGCCACGGACCAGAACCCCATTGTGCTAGGTGCTGTACAAACCCAGAAGAAGGAGATGGTCCCTGCCCCAGGGAGCTAACACCCATTTATTACAGTATTCAGATAATTGGAGTCACTGCTCTTTACATGTTAGTTTGTTCTAAGAGGATCATAGAGAGCATTTGGAGGGAAGGTCAAGGCATATCAGATGCAGCCCACAGTGGGGAAAGCATATGATTATCTTTGCCAGTCCAAAGAAAAAATATTTTAATACTCCTCTTCTTAACTTGGTATCTTGGCAAATGCTCTGAAGGATACTGCACTCTTCAAGAGAATTTATTAGTATGGAAACTTGTGACCTCTTATAGAGAAGTAACCTTGTTCAGTGGCTTTTCCTCCTTAGTCCGAACATCTGTGATTCATAGATTCCCGGGCCAGAAGAAGGCCACTGTGATCATCTAGTCTGACAGCCTGTATAACACAGGCCAGAACTTCCCCCCAAAAGAATTTCTATAGCAAATCTATTAGAAAAAACATTGTCATGATTTAAAAATTGTCAGTGATGAACAATCCATAACAACCCTTGGTAAATGGTTCCGCCGGTTAATTACTTTCACTGTTAAAAATCTATGCTTTATTTACTGTCTGAATTTGTATAGTTTCAACTTCCAGCCATTGGATTGTGTTCTACCTTACTTCTGATGTTGTCACCCTTGTAGTCCTTAGGGATTTGTAGGGGCTCTGGTGTTTGAGCCTCTCCAAAGAAATGATGTCATTGCTAGCCTGTAACTAAGATGCTCTGTGTTTACCTCAGTGGAATGCAATGCCATCTCGTTAGCCATTTCCATACACTTAATTTGTCTTGATGTAGCAATATGCACTTGTATGAAGCTCTCGGCACCTATATGGTTTTGTAAGAACATGTCAGATTCTGTGGTCTCAGCCCACAAAATCTAATTCTCCAGTACCCACCATAAAACTCCTCCCTCTTTGCCAGCCCCTTGTGAACAATTTATTCCCCCGCCCCCCTTCAGGGCAAGCCTGGGAGAATAGCTAGGCCTTCCAGCTTGCCCAGCAGGCCAATGTATGTGGGCCCTCTTGGAAAAGGGGGTGGAGGAAATCTAGAGTTGGGGACCAGTCACTGAGACAGTCCTGCTAGCCACCCCCTCCTATTGAATCCAAGGCGCTGTGATCAAGTCCCTTAGCAGACTAGAACTGCTGCAGTTTTCCATGAGGAAATAGAGACAACGATTAACGAGATATGTACAAATAATAATGCCTGGCTGTTATGTAGCACGTCTATCTGTAGATCTCAAAACGCTTTCCAAAGGCGGTCAGTATCATTATCCCCATTTTACAGCTGGGGAAGCTGAGGCAAAGAGAGAAGTGACTTGCCCAAGGTCTCCCAGCAGGGTAAGCTAGGAATTGGACCCGGGTCTCCTGAGTCCCCCGTATTATGCCCTACCGACTAGGCTACACTGCCTCCATTTCTGAAATTTCCACTTCTAGTTCACTCACCTCCCTCTTGTGACCATGTGGAAGACACCTCTAGGGACAGAGACTGGGAAATATCAATGCAAAAGAGAATGTCAGTGGTGCGGCATAGAGTGTGAACGGTTCTTAATGCACGAGGAATAGATAGCTAAGGTTCCCTGGGTCTCCCTGCATGGCATCCCCACCCCGGTGTCCAGTAACTAACTTCTTCTCTCCCTTCCCCCCAGTAAAGCTGCAGTGGAGGCCGTGCAGGCACGGAACCAGATCTGCGTCCTGGATATCGACTTGCAGGGCGTCAAGAACATTAAGAAAACTGACCTGAAGCCGATCTACATCTCTGTCCGGGCTCCGTCCATAGAAGTCTTGGTGAGTGATCCAAGTAATGGATGAATTCAGTGAAGTGATGAGAATTTCCTGCCTCCCCTCCATTGATCAATTTACTATATAACCCACAAAACAGGTAATGGATTTTGATCCAACCTCTGCCTATCCTCTCTCCTCCCTGCTCCTTGTGTTGGCTTTGTGCACGCTCCGCCTTCTCTTTAAAAGGCTCCGACAAGACCATCCTTCCCCCGCTTTGTTTCTTCTGTTTTTTACCCTAAGTCCATTATGTGAGTGGTGTTCTTCCTTAAGAAGAAGAAAGGCCAGGCCGTGAGCAGCTGCCGCAAAACCAGCTCCAAAGTGTCGCCTAACGGCTGCCATTTATACCTCCATGGCTGTTCAGTTGGCAGCTGCGTTGCAAGAAGCCGCATAGTCCAGTGGCCTGAGCACAGGGCTGGAAGCCGGGAGCTCCTGAGGTCAAATCCCAGTTTGGACAGAGACTTGCATTGCGGCCTGGGGCAAGTCAGTTAACTGTTTGCTAAAGTGAGGATATACTTCCTTCCATCCCATGGGATGCGTGCGGCTTTATTGATCAAGGCCAGTGCCCACAGCCGGCCTCTTGATCTATTCCTTCTGGCCAATGGGCAGCACAGTGTCACCTAGCTCCAGAAACAGCCATGTGCCAGGGGAGAGGGTGTTTGAAATGACTTCCTGTTCTCTGCCTGTGGCACATGACAGTCTAGTCTCCTGTGGGCGGTAACACTTTGGTCTCATTCCAGTTGTTGGGTTGAGTGTGTGGGTGCTGGGTGGCGTTGGTGGCCTTGATATACAGGAAGTCAGGCTAGACAATTTGATGGTCGTTTCTGGCCACAAACATGATGACTGTGACTTGGAGCCTTTTGAGGGTGGTTGTGATGGCAGTAATAGGGACTGGGGGCCAGGGCTGACTGTTCTCCTCCAAACGGTGCTTGGAACTTGCAATTACGCTTGTCGTCTTTGGGCTATAGGAAAAGAGGCTGCGCGACAGACGGACGGAGTCCGAAGAGAGTCTACAGAAGCGGCTGAACGCCGCTCGCATAGACATGGAACTTAGTAAGTACAGGAAGCTCACAGAGACACAACCCCAGTGGGGACTGGGGGCCGGGGGCGGGTGGGAGGAGAGCACATCAGAGTTTTTGGCACCTTGTCATACACAGATGTCTAGCTCCCTGTCTCGGGGGTTTATGGCAGATCCGGCCAGATGAACTGACCACGACTATTTGGCAGCTGGGAGCTAATTGCAGGGGGAAGAGGGGATTCACTGTCCTGGATTGCCAAAGAGGGGCGGGGCCATATCACCACTTAAACTAGCATGGAAATCGCAGCTGTAAAGACCTCACAGGCACCGGGTGTGTTTGTGAGAGAGAACACCTCAGCCTTCCATTGTCTGCGTAAAACCTTAGGCACTAACCGCAAAAATCCTCCTCTCCGGTCCCTTCCCCCTCCTTCTGAAAGATCAGGAGCCCTGACTCCCTTCCCTCACCCCTTGGCACAGCACCATGGGAAAGATCCCCTCCCCCTGACAAGCGGGAAGGACCTCCTAGCCCCTTCCCACCTCCCCTCACTCCTCCAGACCAGTTCTTCCCATCCCTGGCTTCCACTCCTGTTACATCCTCCCTGCCCCCAGTCCCAGGCATGAGGGGAATGGGGCAGTTCAGTCTCAAAGCTGCTAGGAGGTACTAGGGCCACTGATGTACTGTTCAGCATTACACTGTTCCTAGTGCTTCAGGGTTTGTGTAGAGCAGTGGTCCCCAACGCGGTGCCCGTGGGAGCCATGGTGCCCGCCGGGGCATCTAAGTGCGTCTGCCTACTGGCCGGCGGACAAGCATCCGCTGAAATGCCGCCGACAAGCAGCGTCATCCAGAGGCGTCGCCGCCGAAATGCCGCCGATTTTCGGCGGTGCCTCTGGATGACGCTGCTTGTTGGCGGCATTTCGGCGGCGA